ATGATTAAGGATTCCCGACGGAATCCGAAACGTCAGGAAAATAAAACTTTTGGCCCTGTGGTCGCGTTTTCTTCTAAACGCCCTTGTCTCCGTTTGGTATTGAGTAATTTCACTAGCAGATTGTTGCGTAATTTTTTACAAAGCTACTCGTGGTTGCTTCCTTTTGACCCGCGTCACTCAGTATGATTTATCCTACTAAATTCTTGCTACTGTGAAAACATCATAGTAGAAAGTATTTTGTTACAAAATTAAACTAGGGCGATACTCAACGCACGTAAACTGGAGGCGCAGGCATTTGTCTCGCATGCATCGTGTGCCAGCGATCCTGGTTACCGTTGGCTACCCGTGCTTTTGACCGGTTCCTCGGAAGAGCAAGCATTAAAATTCATAAGAAGAAGCGACCACTGGAACAAGGGTTTTATTGTCCTCTTCCAGTGGTCGCTTCTTCTTCTTCTTCTGATGTGCTTCCTGGAACCTGCATATTTAACTCTATTGGCGATTAAAATTCATGTTCCGAACACTTAACCCCATTTATTCTTACGTTGCTGTCGAAGGAGTCATGAGGTTGACGTTTTGTTATTTTAGCTTGCCGTGCGAGAGCACCCCGCGACCGGACCTTTCGTGGAGGGCCTTTTAGAGCCCGTGGTCCGCAGCCCACAGGAGGTCTTTGCTTTGCTACGGTTAGGTGATAGTCGCCGAAAGGTCTCCTCCACAGCAATGAATGAACGCAGCTCTCGTTCTCATACCATTGCGACGCTTCTCATAACACGGCGCGAAATGGTAAATCCTGTAATCTATCGCTAAACTTTTTTTCTAATGATCTCCATCATCGCATAAAGAGGTGTGCAATTTTTTCCAATGATTTTCTAGGCCGAGGATTTTCTTTTTAAAGTTGCAATGGTGTCCACCTTATCTGGTAGTAGTCCCACTGTAATTTTCGGCTGGGTCAACTAGATCATCAAACCGCTTCATAGAAAGGTAATGGCGGACAAATTGACTTTCGTACATATTTTCCCTTCTGAACCTGTGCTGAAGCCGTCCTAATACCCATTCAAAAATAAGGGACTCGATGTCTTATAGCAAATTGTCTGAGAACCGCACAGAACGCTACTAGATCGCTTCGATTGTTACATTTGGTTGGTAGCGGGAAACCGAGGTAGGTACCGCAATCTTGTACTTCACACATTCGTCAAAGCTACTTGTCCCCACCAGAGGTTTTTTTAAAATTTCTATCGGTGTCTGTCACGTTTCTCTTATCTCCCGGACATGGTAAAATTCTGAAAAGATTCGGTAAACAACTTGCGTTGTGATTTTTTCTGTAATATCAGTTTTCAGTCGACGAGTAACGACGCCTACAGGTGAACTAAGCAGCCAAATGTTGAATTAACCAAAATTAGTTCTTACACCTACCGTGCTTGTCCTTTTTGTTCCCAACGATGCTGTTGCTGCTACCGCGCTATCAATTACATTCGTATTTACACTACCATCATTACTTCAGTTGATATACTATTTACCATCATCAGAACGTTTTGGAAATACTGCGTAAAAATGGTAACTGTCCTTTTCTGCGCTGATTACACCTCACAACTACGACAAGCTTCGGTGTCGCAGTATTTAGCACTCTTACCAGGCCTGTGGTCAGCAAAGTCTAGGGAAAGCTTATATTACTTTCACATAACGACCTCCTCTCTCTTTCAGGCAATGGGCGCGCTGAAGGAGACCGTGGAGAATGTCTTCACC